GCCTGTCGCCCCGCCTGGGGGCCCGGTGCCTGTCCGCCCCGCACCGCCCGGGGGCCCGGTGCCTGGCCCCTCTGGGGGCCCGAGGCTGTCGCCGCCCCGGGGGGCCCGGTGCCTGTCGCTCCGCCCGGGGGCCCGGTGCCTGCTCCGCTCCGCCGGGGGCCCGGTGCCTGCTCGCCCCGCCCGGGGGCCCGGTGCCTGCTGCTGCTCCGCCCGGGGGCCCGGTGCCTGCTGCTCCGCCCGGGGGCCCGGTGCCTGCTGCTCCGCCCGGGGGCCCGGTGCCTGCTGCCCCGCCCGGGGGCCCGGTGCCTGTCGCCCCGCCCGGGGGCCCGGTGCCTGCCGCCCCGCTCCGCCCGGGGGCCCTGCCTGCTGCTTCGCCTGGTAATCCGATGTGCCTCTGCCTTGCTCCTGCCCGATGTGTCTGCCCGGAGTCCTGCCCGATGTGCCTCTGCCCGGAGTCCTGCCCGATGTGCCTCTGCCCGGAAGTCCTGCCCGATGTGCCTCTGCCCGGAGTCCTGCCCGATGTGCCTCTGCCCGATGTGCCTCTGCCCGATGTGCCTCTGCCCGGAGTCCTGCCCGATGTGCCTCTGCCCGGATGTGCCTCTGCCCGATGTGCCTCTGCCCGTGCCAAGTCTGCCCGATGTGCCTCTGCCGGAGTCCTGCCCGATGTGCCTCTGCCCGATGTGCCTCTGCCCGGAGTCCTGCCCCGATGTGCCTCTGCCCGGTGTGCCTCTGCCGGAGTGCCTCTGCTCGATGTGCCGCTGCCCGGGAGTCCAGCCCGGTGTGCCGCTGCCCGGAGTCCTGCCCGGTGTGCCAGTCTTTGAATATCCCGCCAGTTGCCAGACCCGGGCGGTGGAACATTTTGCCCAGCTAGGACTGTTTGGAGCGTCCTGAGGCCGCTCCTTGAGGGGGGGGTACTGTTAGGAATGGACTGGCCAGCAATGGTGGGACTCACCTGCCTTTTGATCTGCAGTACCAGGGCTGGCCCAGCGGGTGCTTCCCAGCAATCAGCAGACTCACCTTTCCAGCCAGCTAACACCTGGAACTGATGATACTGGGGTATTTAAGGGATGGCCAGACTTGCAGACTCTTGCCTTGGTGTAGTGGTTTGTCCTGGGGCCACTGGTATCTGTCCTGCATCCTTTTTCTGTTCCTTGTGCTACCTGTCTGATCCCTGGCTTGTGACCCTGACCATCCCCCCTGCCTGACCCTCTGTACTCCGCTGCTTGCTACCATTTCTGATCCCTGGCTTGTGACCACTGACCACCCCTCTGCCTGACCCTACTGTACTACGCTGCTTGCTACCTGCTGAACCTGGGCGGCTGTGACCCCCGACCATTCTCCGCTTGCTCCCCCCTGTACCTACCCTGCCCAATTGATATTAGACCTCTGCCTGCCTGACGCACGCTTGCTTGTATGTACTGTTTATCTGTGGGTGGTTGGTATGGTTTGTTTTGCACTGTAATTAATGATTTTAGTAATGCACTGCGCTTATATGTTTGTAATTGTTTAGTGTTTAATAACTTGTATTGTTAATCACATAACTGAAGGTCCAGCTTTTTCCCCTCGCATCAGTCACTACACGCTCTGGTCATAACCCTGAGCCCTGACAGCATGGAGAGCTAAAGCTGAGGAAAGATTAGAAGAACTGAATTTATCCTCTTGAAAAAGGAATTAAGGGGAATCTGCTTTGGATGGACTCCTTGTATGAATCATCCCTGTGCTGGTATGCGGGCACGTGTCCAGGCCGCAGCGGGGAATGTCAGACAGGCTTATGTAAGTCACGCACGCTGACGACAAGCCCCACCCCAACAACCGGAGTCCCTCAGGGCGCGGAGTCCTAGCCCAGCTGCTTCACCAGGGCCCCCTGATGGGGGAATGGACTTGACGCAGGCGAGGCCAGGTTTGCGACCCCCGAGTAACCCCATTGCGGTAACGGCTGCCGCCAATGACTGGCCGGGTCCGATAACAGCGGAACAGACAGTACAAGACGGGTAGGCAAGAAACCCAAAGGTTTCCGGCCCGGGGTTCACAACGGGGGGGTCGGGTAATGGATAAGGCAAAAAATGTCTTGTCAAACCCCCGAGTCTTTTTCCTTTAGAGAAAAGATAGCTAACAAAGCTGCTGCAAGGGAAAATACACCACGAATGCAAAGAGCACTGCAGACACCCAAGGTTTTAAATGTGAAAAGCCAAAACCCTCCTGGAGGGGGCCCCAAAAAAGGGCATAAAGGCTCCACCTTTTTTGCACAAACCTAAATGGTTTTGCCAAGCACATGGAAAACCCAAAGTTTTCTGGGAAAGGGGGCCCCTTGACAGGCCCCACACACCTAATTTTGGGGTTTAGTTAGGGAAAATACTGTCACCTGTTTTGGAACTGTTTACGAGATTTTTCTTTTAAAATTTTTTGAAACTTTGCCCTAGCCGGTCTGAAGTTATTTAAAAGGGGGCCAGGGTGGCAATGACATAGGGAAGAACGGACTCTAATGAAACACATGGGGTTTTTTGGTGTTTAGGGCCAATCCCTTAAGGGCAACAATTTTACAGGAAAGGATGATATGACAGCCCCCAGCAAAGCGGAAATCAGAAAGGGGTTAACGGGCCTCATGTATAGTGAGAAAGCTTCCATGGCCTACCCCCTTTAGGGGTGGGGTCCCCCCAGCAACGGGGACTGGCCCTCCCGGGGGAAAGACCAAAAGGGACCTAGCACATGGAAATGGGGAAGAAAAGAGTTAAAAATTGGGGCATGGGGGGGGTCCCTCCCTCTGCCCGGGGGGAGAGAGGGGGCAGAGTCAACGGGAAAATGGTAAAATTTTGACACTGCTTTGTGAGTCCCCTTTCAAAATGTTGCATCCTGAGCAGGGGGATGTATCGTGGGACCGGGGGCCCCTGTATAGAGCTTTTGGTTTTGGGGTCCCAAACCATAATTTTGGGAAGTCACCTGAAAAAGGGGCCCCCCTCTGGCCCATTTTTAAAGCGAAGGGCAAAAATAGAGGGGTCAAAGGGACGGAGAGGATGAGAAAAGGGAAAGGGTAAAAAGGAAAAAAAAAGCCCCACATGCACTGGGGGGTGTTGGCACAGCCCCACAACTGCATTTTTAACATCTAAATTGACAACATTTTTGTTATTTGGGGTAACAAATCATTTTTGAATTCACCTAATATTCTGACTCACTTGTTTTTAATAGTGGGAAATTTTCCCTTCCTGAGACCTCAATGCCTGGCCTGTATGTACAGAGGGCAATCACTGCATCTTCATTTAGGTAGCTGAACCCCACCAAACACTTGGCATCCCCCAAATATCTTTGTTGCAAAGGAGAAGGTTGGGGGAAACAATACAATGGGGCCCCCCTAACAGAATATTGAAAGTGTTTAAAAAGGAAAAAATTTCAAGGCAAAGCTCCTTTTTGGGTGTACTTCTCCTTGGATCAAAGGGGTGAAGTTCGTTTGCACTCCTGTGAAACCCTTTTTCAGCTGACAGCCGGGGTGAAACCCGCTGTTTTGGGTGATGTCAATTTAGCCGGTCCCGGCTGGGGGACTGAGGAAAGACCCAACTCTAAAGTTGGGGAAAGGGAACCCCGAGTCTGGACGGCACCTGGGGCAACCTTTTTCCCCGGGGGTTGTCAGGGGTCACCGCGGCGCTGGTCCCCCCCAGGCCCCAGGGGCCACCCCCCTTTTGCAAAGGGGCGCCGGGAAATAGTTCCAGGGCCGGGCCCCCGGGGTCCCCAACTCCCCGCAAAAAACCCACTAGACCGCGGGGGCCACCCCGGGACCCAATGACAGCGCAGGGGGTGACATTTAAACGGCCCCCGAACGTCATTGATTTCCTTCTGGTCTTACCTGCATTCCTGAACCGGTTTAACCCGTAAACCCCGATTGTTGCCGACCCGGGTTGGGGACCTGGCCCCCCGCGTATTCTCCGCTTTTGAACCTTTGGGGTTTTCCCACCTCCTCCGGGTTCCCCCTATTGGGGTCTGATCTTTTTTTGTTTAAAACCCCCCCGACCCCCCCGGCCCCCCAGGGGGACCCGACTATTCCTGCCCGCTGCTTTGTACCGCAACCGTCCCCACGGCTACCGCCCCCAGCTTTGTCTGACCTCCACCTCTCAGCCACCCATCCACCCCCGGGGAAATCACCCAACCCTCCCCTGTGGGAGCCCCTGGCAAAACCCCCTACCACTGACAGGAAATCCCCGGATCAGACCTGGTCTCAGGGTACTCCAAGCCATCCACCCCAAACCCGGGGCCCGGGTGAACAAATCCCGGGGAGCTTATTTTCCCGTGCTCGGGGGACGCCTAATCAGGGGGAGTGTTTAAGGGGTCCGCCAGGTGTCCCTTACAGAGGTTTTTTGAGAGCCTGACCAGCCCGCCCTCTCCCCTCCACACCCATGCCCCCATTTCACCGCTCTCTGCTCAGAGGGGCGGGAAATTCTCAGCGATCACATAAAGTGATTCTGGGGTTTCTAAACCCTTTAGACCTTTGGGGGGGACCCCGATGCACATCGGAGAGCAATTGCTGCATCCCACCTAAAAATAAATGAGGAAAAAACAAACAAAAAAGTCAAAACAGTACCATATTCTCTTAAGGTGGTCATAAATGAATGTTTGCTTTTTTTCCTAAGCCTCAGATGGGGTGGATTTGCTGATGTCGAAATAGAATGGTGTTACTTTTCCCCCAGAGCGGGCAAGGGCCTTGTCGCGCCACAGAAACACCCAAGCCAGCGGTTGTGGGGTTCTGTGGGTGTGGGGGCTTATTGGAACTTTTAAGAATAAGGGGCGCTCCTATAGACACCACTCTCCATGTGAGCACGTTGTTAACACACTTATTCTTTCACAAAAGATGTAAATAGTTCATTAAAGACTCACACACTTTTTGGACAAGGTTTCTATATTACAGTGGATACAGTGAACTGGAGATAAAAAAGAATCTTAAAATTGCAACCAGGCAGGCTCTTTTATTAGTCTTTAAAAAAAAACACCCCCAAGTTTTAAGCCTCCCGGCCTATAGCCTTTTGTGGCGGCCGCAAAAATGCTCTAGCTTTCCGGGGTGTACGCCATTTGGTTGTCCTCCCCGCACATGCGCAGTTCGCACAGGTTGCTAGAGCCGCGCGAGTTCTGTCACTGGCCCCGTTGTACCTCGGACACGGAGATGACAGAATCTGGAGTAGTCGGCCACCCGTTGCCCGGTACCATGTGACCTGCTGTGACCAATCACAGCAGAGTCACATGACAGTTGTATACAATGGATGGCTTCATTCATGCCATACCATTGTATACTAGTGTCTAGCTGTAGATATGGTGCACAGCAGGGTCACATGCACAATGTCATGTGATTAGCTGTGGCCCAAATCAGCAGCGTCGTTAAGGCACAAAAAAAAAAAACCCTGAATGAATCGATGTCATTCAG